ATTTGCTCTTTGTACCAACCCTCGTGCCATCTAGAACGCAGCGCGGTGCCCCAGCCCCTAAATCATCTCGGGTGCGTCTATGTTCTAAAAGTTGCTTTAGGGGCATCATTATCTCTTTACCTGACCTTGATTTTTTCTTTACTTTTTCTCTGATTTCGTTGCTCGGCACAACTCATCTGTAAACCATCGCGTGCAGCGGACGACACGGCGTGGCGTGAACAATGATGCCCTGCAGCTTGCTGAGATGGTATTGCAGGATCTGCAGGGTTTAGACTCTGCCAAGCACTTTTCGGCAAAATTCCGACGACGACGGGTGGGTGGTTGCGTACTTTCGCTGCTGACACGCCGCCGTTGTCCCAGAGCACAAACCCCTTGACTTGGTTGCTCGATGCCTCTCAACTCTGTCACGTGCGACTTTAGCACCCGGTCTACGCGTCTCAAGTGGGGGATCATGTCGACTTGTCCGATATGCGCGCCAAGTTTGATCAAAACGAATACCACGCATCCGCCGATTTTGCAGCTGACATGAAGCGACTTTTCATCAATTGCCAGCTTCTCGACCCAGAATCTGAGGAGTTTTTGGCCATGTTTGACTTTCAGGCTGCGTTTGTGGTACGTCATCCCCGTGCTCGCGAGAACTGGAGTCAACCCACATCCACCATCTCTACCCTATCATTGGCCAATCTCATTGTTTTTCTTGCACCTGCACTCGGTGCAGGCCAAGTGGAAGGAGGCGTTTGGCGAGGAGCCGTGAGCGTGCGATCACCGAGCTCTGATGGTGCACTATCAATGAATAGGATATTTGAGCACTCACAGATCGCTCCTGGATAGAACGTGAGATGCGTTGAAACCCCGCGCTTGTGCCCGCCAAGACTTTGTGATCGTGGGAAAGGATCTGCGTGCATGCCTCCTCGAGGCGCTGTTCTTGGTGATGAATGTGACTGCTGCTCTTCTTCTCTTCTTTTTCTTTAAGGAAGGTTTACTTTGGGTTTTGTTGTGTTTTGTTTTGTTTTGTTCTAAAGGGGGGTGCGGGGAGGGGGGCTCTGAGACGAGGTTGGTGAATCGCCACGAGTTGACGTCAGACCACAGCTCGGACTGTTCGGAAACTTGATGAGCATCAAAAAGCGGTGGATAGGAAATTAATCCAATTCTAGGAAGGTGACCGTCGAACATTGCTGGGGCCAAGACTCGACAAACGACATTCAGCAGGCTCAGGACAAGCACAACCAGGCAACAAGGGAAAACGCCTTGGCTCAACCATGTCGCATTTCGGGAACAACGACACTGGTTGAGTGATTAAGCCCGGGGTCATGAGGCACCCCTCGTGGGAAACACATCAAAACACGCAGCGACGCCAAAACATGGGGCACAGGACAACGACCAGGAAAGAAATCGAAATCTGGTAACACAAACTGGAAACAACAACTCAAGACAAGCGACGGCAACGAAAGGAGCTGGCATCCGCTGTCATCCCCAAAAAGACAAACCAAGAGGCGCTTTCGAGCAGTGCCCTGTGCTGCTTCGTAAACTCGGTTAAGGATACCGAGGTGAAGGGGCAAACGGAGCAAGCACAAAGGAGAGGCAAGGCGCCGACACGCAACTCAAAGTCAGCATGTCCCAAGGCAAAATGCTGCAAGAAGAGGGTGAGAACCCAAGAAAAGGCAATCGAACAAATGACAAGAAAGACACAACGGCAAGACACGCGAAGGAACAGAAGAACTGACAACAACCCTAAAAGCATGTCGACAGGCGTGGTCGAACATGCAAAACTATGGCTGGATATCGACCCGGAAAGCACGAGATTGGGCGATGTGACTTGAGAGCATCTGAGAGCATCTCGTCTGAGCAGTGGTCTATGAGTTAGGCTGGAAGATGTCGAAGATATTGATAACGATGCTTGCAGTGCTCAACAACGAGAAAAAGATGATCATAAAATTGGCAACCTGTGGCACGACAGACAGGGCGACAAACTGTAAGAATGGCCTGAAAGATGTCTGGGAGATGTGTTCAAAAAGAAGTGAGGCAGCACACACTACACTTACGTAGATGCGATTGATCTTGAAGACTTTGCCACAGAAGGTGAGGAACCGGGGGACCGCCTCGACAGGAGCCTCATCAAGTTCCACGAAGCTGCCAGGCGTATCAGGTCCAGACTCGTCGACAATCGTCTTGCCCTGCCAACGCGCAAAGCAAGAAGACGGGCAGGTCAGCGACAAGTGCTGAATGAGTCGAGGTGCCAATGCAACGGCCGATTTGAACGATAAAGCGCCACATGCAAATGCGTACCAGCAGAGCAGTTTCCTCGCCTTCAGGATCAGCCGACATCACACGGTATTCGACTGGAGTCTGGACCGAGCCGTAGTTGACGGCCTTTTGGTCCGGAGGGAAACGGAAGGCTTCAGAGCTGCCGTAATCCATGGTACCAGAGAACTGCTCTGCATTGTGGTCCGGGTAACGGTAGAGAGCGGAGCGGTAGAGCATGGCAGGAATGACAAAGTTGATGTAGCCTTGGACGACAATGGCCACCCAGTTGCAGAACTCTTGAAGGACGTTGGTCTCGTAGCAGAATGCCGTGATGACCCAGGGGGCCACGACGCCAAAGACAAAGGACCAAAAGCGGTTGCACACTTTGCCGGAAAGGAGGTTGTAGCGAACCATGATGGCAAGCACGGGGATACCGGGAATCAAAGTCGTAATGTCCCACAAGTAGGCAGAGTACTGCGAGACCTGCGGTGCGATCCGAGGCAAAGAAAGAGCAGGGTAGGTGAGCATACACTACACTACTTGTTTGCTATCCCCCATCTTTGCTTGCGAAAAAGAAAAGAAAAGATAAAAAAAAGAAAAGATAAAAAAAAAAAAACACAGGCGGGCTGGGGGGCGGATGAAGAAGGTGGCGTATGAGAAGGAGAACAGACCTCGGGTTGATCACGATGCAAGATAATGTTGAGGATGTCGTCGGAGTGGGGGCGAGGGCTGCCATCGGGAAGAAGAAGAGCAAATGCCCAGCCACCCAAGAGGCCCGTCAAAAGCTTCATAACCAAGCCCACAGAGGCCGGAACCCAAACGGACTTGTTCACGCTTACCTAACGAGAGAGAGGGAGAAGAAACACGGAAAAAACCCCCCAAAGATGAGGCAAAGCAAGACAAGACGCGTAAAGAACGAAAGAGAGGAGAAGCGAGAGGGGAAATTCTCAGTGTGTGATGCTTTGTTTAGAACAAAAAGGCAGAAGAGGATGGCGTACGTGGTGGCGCTTCTCGTTGACCCAGGAGGGGATGGTGACGACGTACGAGTAGGCAAAGATGGCCATGCCCACAACGTTGGCCTGCAAAAGCGCGGGATGCGGCATGAGTTGACACGGTAGTTGAGGGGCGAGCGCGAACAGGATGGGACAGGGTGGTTTGTCCATCTATACCTGTCCTTCGGCTGAAGCTTGGAAAATAGGGGTGCGGTGTGGGCCGTTGTGGCTAAAGTTGCCGATATGGCGCTCGCTGGGGTGGTAGTTGCAAGTGACGTTGCCGTAGTCGACATTGTCCAGACAGAGCTTGTCTTCACCATCAAGCTTGAGGATGAATTGCACGAAGAACTCGCAGGTAAAGAGGAGGAGGCCGGCAAGGCTGACCCACTGGAACCACATGTTCTCGTCAAGGTTGAGATAGCCAAAGGGGATACAAATGGCCATGCAGATGAGAAAGCCGACGGAGATGACAAAGGTGAGATCCTCGCAGCCTTCGCTGGTAAGATCTCCGGCACACCAGGGGTGATCGGCATCGTCAGTGCTCTTGACAAAGCCCCAATGAACGTAATCAAGGGCATAGCTGTGGCCGGCAATCTTGCCGATAAACTTGTCCAGCACCTGGCACAAGGTGAAAGGTGGTGTCAAGGCGAGAGGCGGCGAAAGCAAAAAGGTTTGACCCCCGCGAGGCAAGGTCCTGAAGACAAGGAGAATGAAGCAAACAAAAAAAGAAAAGGAGAAAAAAGCAAAGGAGGGGGTGTGGGCGTACGCGGGCGCTGATGATCATGGCGGCAATGTTGCTGGCTTGCATGCTAAGGTTGTAAAAGACTTGAAAAATGATGTAGGCGGTACGGCCGTAATAGTGGCGGACGGTGGTGGCAAACTCGTAGCGATGTTCAAAGGTGAAGTTGCCGGGAATCCGCTGCATGGATTCGCAGAGCATAGTCGCAGCGAGAGAGGAGAGGACAAAGACGATGCACA